GGTTCACGTGTTCTGTGTGGTGTAAGAGAAGGGAAGCCACGTGTACGGCTTCGTTCGTCGCTCGGTTCTGAATGAGGAGCGTGTCGGACACACTGTCAGACACAAGGCCGCAAGGGGGTGGGGACGCCCTGGTGGGGGTTGCTGCACACCCCTATCTATACATCAATCCCCTCTATCTTTTTAATCTCACATGATTATATTAATTAATCCATAATTTTTTAATGATTTTGCAGAACGTCATCGGTTCATTAAGTACTGTACAGATTACAAACCAAATAAAACTCATTAAATCAAAATAATTTCTTACTGCAGAACACTGCTCTTGTTAGCATAAGCAAATAATTAGATAGCACTTGTACATTTAATAATAAAAGAACTGACAATGCCCTTATTTCCTTTAGAAACACACTATTATCTGGAGAACTTAGACTGCATATAGAACGCATTTAATCATAATAGTTAACAACCAGACGTGTTGCTTCAACACCTGTGTTCTTTTGTACAGAGGATAATATTGTTTCCTTTCTATTTAGACAAACTATCATCTCGAAGAACGTTTGGTTTTGTTGTTTCCGGTCATTCTGGTCTATCATCGATGCTTTAGTCTATCAGACGCGTTTGCGCACTTCCCAAACTTTATATGTCAAAGATGGCGTATACACAAGTTCCTTTATATAAAACTAGTTTAACCTTCATTGAAATCATAGCCTCAATAAGAACGTATTTCGGTACTTCATGCTTCGCTCGCGCCACTTCAGCAAATACACTTGACATAGTTACTACGAATGTATTTACGGCAAACTCAGGAGTGAAATTGTGAAATATTATTAAGATTTGCATGAAGGTCTGCCTTTCCTCTATGTTTTGGTCAGTCAGACACGTTTCAGCCTTTTCAGTGTTGGTTCTATTTCTTTACCTCGCCATGATTATATCCTTCACCAATATCTGAAGGAGGCGAAGAAGCTGACAGACAGGATGATCGAAAACGACTGAAATTTACAGGAAAAGAATCCCTTCAAACCTTCCAAAACATTACTACTACATTAATTTTACATGACAAGATTGCATTAAATATTAGAAAAACATTACTTATCGCTGACAGTTCTCCAGAAAAATACTTAAATTAATTATTGGTTATTATTTCTAAATTTATGTCTATTATAAGTCTAAGATTTGGTAATTTCATATCTTGTTCTGAGTAATAAGTTCTATTTAAAGATTCTGCAAGATATCACAAGCCATGGTTCAACTTTATAGAAAAATATGTTGAAAAAGATGAGTAGAAATACTTTGATTGAATATAAAAAAATATTTATTTGCATTGTATAAACTCACTTTTTTCCACATCTTACATGTTTTTGTTAAATTTAAACAATGTTTGTAAATCCCAGGTCCCGAAGATGATCTCAAAAAAGATCGAGACGTTGGCACGATAAAGAAAATGTTATTCTGAAACCTACATCTCACCAGACCGCATCTCACGATTTCTGAATAATCATCGACAAACGCTCACTAATCATCAAACATTTATAAAAAAAATCGGTACTTTCAATTTACATTCTGAATGAACAGTTGCATTGAGCGACTTAATTCATATAAAAATACATTATTTTAGAATAGAGATTGATAAATTTGATTGTGTTTTGAACAATTTAGCTTTGAAAGTTTGCTGAGAAAATTGAATTATCTTTAATTTTGAAGAACTTCTATTTAATATCAGCTATTTATAATTTCGTACCTATCTTGATGATCTGTCATTTACCAGCATAGCGAGAACATCTTTGATTAAGTATTAACATCTTTCTTGAAGAGCTGTACACAATTAACTGTTTAATTTGAAGTGCTTATAAATAACGCTACCACTTACCGATAATGTAATAAATCTATTTAACATGTTAAGATCTGTTTTGAATATCTCATTCGTAATTCAGTTTTTATTTACTTCCATCTGTTCAAATAAGTGGGGTGATTGAAGTGAGGAAACTCCAACAAGTTAGTTGGTGCAGAATTCACCTGTTGTCAGTGTTTATCCAGTATCAAGTGGTTAAGACATCGGTCGACGGAGGCGAGGGACGTCCGGGCATCGGTCCCTCACGTGGCTTTACGATAAGAATTAGGCACTTGACTAGCAGTGTGATGCGTGCGCGGCACGCGCTCGCCCGCCGGCGACGCCCATTGTCGCTGGACGAACTGCGATTCTGAAACGTTTAAATACTTGTTGGCGTACGGCAGACGTCGCGGCAAAAACAACCGGAATCGCCCCCAGTCCGATTGGCAGGCCACAATTATCTCTTAAGGCCTGAATGGCATCGTTCGATTCTATCATGAAAAACGAATGGTTCAGTTTCGTAGATCTTTGGGAATTGAACGGACTTAATTGAAAAATCTATATGTTCCATTAGTTTATGATTTAAATATTATTATTAATTCTTTGAATAGATCTCAGAGATAAAACAAAAAATAACATTGTATTGTTTGGAAACATCTATCTATCTAAGTATTTACCTACGTACCTTTCGGTCTATCTATCTATCTCTTTTATTTTGGTGTACTTCTTTCTCAATAATTTTCTGGGTGAGTGCTGTGTGTCTTTGTCTTTCATTATCTCATGATTAACATTATTTCTCTATCATTATTTCTAATTTAAATTTAAAATTCCATATTGATTTAAATATTCTTACTTTTTATACATTCCACGTGTTGAGTAATTTTAGGTCTATAAATCAATTTATTTTACCCAGGCACAATTTATATTGGTTTATGTCATTATCGCTTGACGTGGTACAAAGAACTGTTATCTTAAAACATTTGGTCATTCAGAATACACTCAATAAAATCATCACTAAAGGTGTGGTGATTAGTGACCGTCAGTCGATGATTATTCGGAAATCGTGAGATGCGGTCTGGTGTGACGTAGGTTTTAGAAAAAAAACATTTTCTTTATCGTGCCAACGTTTCGATCCTTATTGAGTTCATCTTCAGGGCTCAAAGGGACACAATAACGCAGAAAACAAACACTTTGAGCCCGGATGATGATCTCAATAAAGATCGAAGCATGGCACGATAAAGAAAATGTCTTTCCGAAACCTACATCACACCAGACCGCATCTCACGATTTCCGAATAATCATCATCACTGAACTTTTAATATCAAATTTTAAGATATGAATTTAAAACAGTTTTATTAAATATTTTTGTTTGTATTGTTTTAAACACAAAATCATACCTTTGAATTCACGTTCAATACATGTTACTAGAAGAAATCATATTTTGAATGTTTCTTTGCCTAAAGTTAATACCTAAATTTATTACAATTCTTCATTAAATATTTTTTATAATCATAAAGTAATAATTAATTATAATCATATCAATTTTCTGAAATTTAAACACTTAATTTCTACAATAATGTCTCTGTTTGACATTTATTATTTTTGAATTACATACAAAAGTGTACATAATTTTTATTTAATTTTTGCATTATATTGTGTTAGAATATTTTAATTTTGTTTTATTTTTACAAAGAGCTAAGATTTTACCTATCTATCTTTCCCTCATTTCTGATTTTTCTTTGCAAAAAAGTTTCAGTTTTTACGCATAATAAATATCTAATAAATTAATCAATGCACATAGGTGGGAAAATAAGATTCAAAAATATTATCGTACCTAACAGCCTAATATAAAAAAAAATCATAAGTGCTGTAGATTCAGAATAAGTAATTATATTTGCATAAATCTGTTTCAAATTTAGTTAATTTTTTTAAATTCCATCGACCAATCATCCAATTAATCGATCAATTCTCACGTTCCAGTGAGTTCCAGTGACTTCTTCTATCCCTGTACAGAGAGAAACGCGACTCATCAGTAAACATAACAGCATTCCAACGGGTATTCTTTTCTAGACATTCGCTGCACCATATTCTCCTGAGTTTCTGGTGGCGGGCTGTTACTGCATGTAGTCTCAAATATGTGAAGCCAACTTCTCACAAACGATTACGAATCGTTTGTATTGATAAAGGCCTTGCCAAAACATCTATTACTTCATTTACAATCTAGCGGGCAATATGGATAGGTTCCGTCTTTCAGCAATGGCAACATTTCTGACCTCCCTTAACTCGCAACCCTCGCAATTCGCAAAGATCCACTACCAAGCCTCCTATTGTCACTTCCAGACTCTGGGAATTGGGATAAAGCCCTGAAGACCACGCTTTGAGAAACGTCGACAGCCTCTCTGATATCCACTTGCCAGTGACCTCGATGACTCCAAAAAATTATATTCTATTCTACTATTCTCATGATAGTATTGCTAATTTCTGGTTCGAGATGATGTCTTTTCATGGTTAAAGAGAATACAACTGGATTACAATGGAGAAAAGACGAGAAAAGGTGTTTATTTACAAAATGAATAAACTTCATGTCTACTATTCTTATGTAATGAGGATTAACAAATTTTTTGTTTCTTGTTTGTATTTTCTATTTTGCTTTATCCAACTACAAGAATATGTTTAAAATTAATAGAAATTTTAAAATTAATTAAAATTAATAGAATAAGAATAAATTACAAATATCCCTATTCATTTTTGTACAGTTTATATTGGATAAACTAAATTAAATTGTGATTTGTGATTTTCTGTCAAGTGGAATTTTTTACCGACCGTGATGTGTTTATGGATCTCAAAACTTTGCAACGTGGTTTTATCATATACATTTTACGTAATACTCTCAATAAGTATAATGTTCGATGTTTGAAGGAGAGAATTTCGTTCATCTCGTATGCGATGGCCGTACGTTTGAACTCCATTTTGTATGATTTCGCCCTCCATGTACGAGTGTGAACTGTGAACCCCTTCGTTAAGCCTGGCCCCCTCCATTTCATAGTTGAAACCAGTCGGAGGAACTCCTCGGATCCGTGAATCATCCCAACGCCATAATGGGGGATGCAATACCACGGTACACTGTATATTTCAATTTCGCCTATGATTCAGAAACGTGTCTTAAAACATT